GTTCTTATGAGTATTGAGGAAATATATTTAGACACATAAGATGACCAATAGGAGCTTGTTTACATTCTTTTACTAACATGTTCTCTGCTAGCCAATCACTGTATAAGAAACTTTGTGCTACTTAAAATTCAAAGTTAGACTGAGATAGGCAAAATTCCTTAGAAAAAATTGAGAAAGAGTACTCTTAAAGTCAAGGTATAACAGAAAAGTTGATGGTTGCTTTCAAGATAAGTTTTTTATTATTAGAAAAGTTTTGTATTGTCTCTTTAATAGGTGAGTGGATAGCAGTACTACAGTTTTTCTTTCTTTCAGAACTTTTTTGCTGTTGATAGAAAAGATGTTTCATGGCTTTGATCACTGAAAGTCATGTTTTTATTTGAAGAAAATTGTTTACAAGAAGAAGGAAAAAGTGAATATGACTCTTGAGATGTTACTTCAGATTGGTTTAAGGAGAGTGGTAAGACTTTGTTAACCCAAAAATATAAAAACTTCTTGCAAACATTTTTTTTGAGTATGGTCAAGGGATTAGTGAAAAGAGTCTTATTATATATATAGTATAATTAGATTTATAATAATTATTTATAATATATAAATTATATAAAGCATGGAACCTATAATAATATAATATATTTCTTTTGCTTGTATAGGTCAAATCTTCTTATAGTTAATTTATTTAAAGTTGCCAATTTATTCTTGATTAGTTTAATAAAAAAACTTTTTGTTAAGATTATTTAAAAATATATTCTATATTTGTTCATTATTATTTTTTTCACATTAAATTCCATGTATAAACCTGCTGATATAAAATTTGATGTTTATTTTCATTCTATTTTACTTTGTTATAATTATTAATAAACAATTGTTTTATTGTTGATATTCTTAACAAACTATCCATTTAAATTATCTAAAATTATATTATATTACTTTATTTTTATAAAGAATTTGTATGAGATGAATTTTTTTTATTTTATTAGTAAAAGTTTTAAGGCTTCTTTAACTAGAATATTTATCTTTTTATTATAAGAATTATTGAAATATATCTTGACTTTGAAAGCTTTAAGTCTAAATTTTTTTTTGTATTAACTTATAGTAACTATTAATATTTAAAGAAATCAAATTTTTTCAATTATCTCTTTGATATTTTTCTTTTTTTATTATTTGATATTTGAAGATACAGGTTTAATTTTTTATATAAATCTTAATAGTACTATTAATAAAACTACTAAGAGTATAGATATAGTTATTATTAATTACGATTTTATAAATAGAATTAATTTTTTACTTTTATTTGAAAATCTTTTTTTCTTTTTGCTTTTTTTATTTAGATTTAGGTCATATCTATTTTTATTTCTACTTTTTTATAATTAATTTTTTTTTAAACTTATAATTAAATCAGTATTATATATTTATTAATTATTAAAAAAATTAATAAAGATAAATATAGTAATTAGATCTATGAATCAATAATGCAGTAGTTAATATTCTATAGATTATATTACAAGATACAAGTTCAAATCTTCCAAAAATATTATATAAAGTTTGATAATATTTGTATTTATTGATTTAATCAAATTCTGATATTTCTAAATATAATTATAAGATATTTAAAATTGGGAAAAACTGAATATTAATCTATAGTACAGTTTATAAAAAATTGTAATTTGAAGATTAAATTCAAAAATTGGTTAGAATTATCTTGACTTGATTGCATTACTCATAATAGTAAGTTAAAAAAGATAATAGAAAGTGTAGATTAACTAACCGGTAGTATGCCTTTGACTTTTAAGTACTAGACTGTTTTATGATCTCTTATAATTAATATTACCAAGAAGCTTTAATAAAAAAATATATATACAAATCACTTTAAAGAATCAAAATCTGGAACCAAGAAGCTTTAATAAAAAAAAATATATACAAATCACTTTAAAGAATCAAAATCTGGATCCAGGATAGTATTTGACAGTTTAATAATTAACCTACATTTAATAAAAATATGTTAGGAAAAATCAAAAAAGAAATTATACAATTTCTTAAAAAGATGATATTTATATATAAAATATGATTAATATAACTAGTCTTATATAGATATATTATCTAAATAGTTGATATGTATAGTGCTTATTTAATGTATACAGAATATAACTAAAATAGTTTACTAAACAAACTAAACTATAGAAAAGGATAAATGAAATATATTGTATAGTTATTAAATAAACTAAATAGGAGAGATCAAGTTGAATGTAATATAAATAAAGTTAAACAAAAGTTGTAAAGTTTAAAAAGTTGGGTTTTCTGAAAAAACTGAATATTATTTTTTCTTTTTCTTTTTTTTTATTTTCTTGTATATGTATTTACACTTTTTATATACATATTTTTCTTTTATTTTCTTTTTTCTTTATATAGTTTCTTGTTAATCAGTGACTTGAAGGATATATTATAGTAACAAACTATTGATAATAATAGTAGAAATTAGAAAAGTGTTTATCCAAAATCCTTATTGAAACAAATTATTATCCCTAAGGTCAAACTTAGAGACTTTTATGCTTAAAATGAATTTGTTGGATATGACATAAATGTTTAATTATAATATTTTTTATTATGCTTTGATAATATATATTTTGTTTTCTTAAAGCTTAATAAACTACTATTTAGCTTGGTTACAGGTAATTAAAAAAAAAAAGAAGATATATAAAGTAATTATATTATAGTTAAATTAAATCTTATACCGATTCACTTATTAACAACTTTCAATTTTTAAAAAAGTATTGACTCTTAAGTATATCTTTGAAAACAATATTTTGCTCTATAATAAATTTTGAATAGAGATCTTTCTAATTTATAATTATTGCTAGCAAGTTGCTACTATTTCTTTTCCATGATTAATAAGCAATTCATTAAAATAAAAGATAAGTTTTTTTAAATATAAAATTGTATTAAAGCATCTCTATTAGATAATCTTGATATATTCTTTCTTTAATATTTTTTCTAACAATAGTTTTTTTCTAAGTTTCAATATTTATATAATTTATTTTGTCATCTTGAAAAGGGTCTTGAAAGGACCTTGGTTATTATAAATCCCTTCTTTGATTGTTTTTTTCAATATTATCTTGGAATTTGAAAATTGTCACTTCTTACATTTTTCCAGTGAATTTTTTTATATTAAGATATGATACAGTATACAACTTTTTTATACTTTCTTCTATGATATAGCTATTATCTAGTACTAGATTCTATAAAATATTTATATGTCGTGAAATGGTCATATTCTTTTATAATAAAAAAAAAAAAGAATGGTTGATTTATTACAAAAATAATGATTTAATGTACACAGATCAATTTGAATAAATTTTGTTAAAAGTATAATCGGTGTGTTAATGTTGTGAAAGGAGCTCTTACACGGTATTACCTATTGTAAATAATTAAGTAAAAATTTTAAATTGCCGAATAAGTTTTTTTTTTTTAAATTGCTTATAAAAATGATTGCAATATTTTCCGGGGATTGTACTTTCATTTGCACGTACTAGAAAATATCAGAAGAATTTGTCTTGCGTAGCTTCGGGACTTCAAGTTTCGGGCACGTTACGTTAAGCGGGACTTAAAGGGCGCGTAGATCGTGATCGTGAACGGAAATAGGCATGTTCATAATGTATTCGGGTCGATAGGGGAGGATATTCTTTTGAATGGAATATCCGTGGTCTTTTATTGCCTTTTTAGACATTTGCATACGGACTTTATGAGCACATTCCGTAGCGAATTTTTAATTTCTTTTCAAATATGCTACATGAATCTCTGAATGAAATGTCATCACTATTAAACATAATTTGGTAAAAAAAATGATAGCTTCGTCAAATAACCTATAAAGTATTGTTTAAAATTTTTAAAATGGCTAATTATGAAAAACTTATAGATTCGTATTATTATACAAATAATTTATCGGTTAATTTATTATGGCATTATTTTTCTTATATTCTTTGTGGGGGCTTTTTTTTTTTATTTAAAAGCACTTGATTTTTATAGTGGACTTGAAAAAAAATTACTACGTGCTTACGTTCAGAATTAAAAATCACTATAAGATTGAATAAACACGTTTCGAGAAGGTTTCGGTGCGCGGGAAATGACATACGTTGGGTAGTTTTCTTAATAATGCAAGTTTAGCCATACTGAGTTTTCAGATGCAGTATTTTTAAAGAAAAATGGTCGATCAAATCAATTAAATTGGTTAATGCGGTATTGCGATTCACGAGCTTTCGAGTTTTGTATGAAGATATCGTCAAGGTACGACAGATGCAATCCGAAATTCGCGTTGCGACAATTTATACGCAACAAAATCAACTTTTGTTCTTTTCTTTTCTTTTTTTTTTTCTGGAGAGTAAGTATTTCTTTACTCTACATATTTAAGGCACTCTTTCGTGACTTAATTATTTTTTGGTCGTGATAATCTCTCTTTTTCGACTTGTTTATTTACATGAATGGTGATTAATAAAATTACCATAAAATTTTTTGAAAACAATCCTTGAAGAAAAATTCTCGAGACCCATTTAATGCCACCTATTCCAACAAATAAGAAAACATGTCGACGATTAGGATAATCAATCGAGGATGGGTAGAGATTGTGAACCCATTTTCTCGGGAGCTCTTCTATGCCAATACTGTATTTATCCTCTTCTTCGTGTTAAATGTTTCTAATAAGTACCTGATACGAATTACTCTCCGAAGTCGACATATATTTCGTCGCTTACGAGAGGGTCTCATGATTGACAACTCAAATATTTTTCTTATTAAATAGGAAACCGGTGAGGTCACATTGGAAAAACCGAAAGGCGTGAATCTGTAAATAAAATTTGTTTATTAAACCTTTCTGTCTCGAAATGACTAGTATTCTTACAAAAACCATTTCTTAAAAAAAAAATAGTGTACCGAGAGATTCAAATGAATGGTGGGAGTTATGGGACGACAACTATAGTATTCCATATTATTATCATACTACCACCGGCCAAACGGAATGGGATGTCCCGAGGGCAGGAAATCTTATATCGTTGACCAAAGTTCAGGTACGTGTAAGTATATATTGAGTTGCAATTCAAATTTAATTACCGCCTTCGCAAAACGATTTCACCACATCGTTTTTTATTATACTTAGCAGAATTCACCTGTTGGAAAGCGAATGACATATTTAATTGAAAGTCAATTACATTCTACCACCAAAATCAGTCAGTTTAGTTTTTCAGAATCGTCGGGGTCACCAGAATCGACGCCATCCTCTCCTTCGAAGAAATCGATCCGAAGTGATAACAAAAGCGACAAATATTTTGTTGATAATGGTGAATTATACGTTAAAGAATACCGAGAGTCAATTACTTCCACTCGATTTTCTCTTAAATCTGTAAAGGTCGCACCGTTACCTTCATCAGGGGGTGGAGCCACGAACTTAAAATTTCATGGTTCCCAAAGTGACGGGGAAATAAATGATAAATCAGAACATGAGCATTGGAATAACACGGCTTCGTCATATCCTGACGAACCGTCATTCCTCTCATCTCTTTCTTTGCTACCCCGGTCATTAATAGAATCCGTTTTGCCCGCTAAACTCTCGATAATATATCAGGTAAGCATTAGTTAGTCGAGCGTCAGCGTCGTAATTTCATGCTTTGTTTTCGTCCGTCTAACGAGAATATATTTCGCATTTCACATTATCAGAATGAGGGACTTCCTTTCCCCAAGCTTTCATGCAAATATGATGATTATAGCTCTCAACCTACTAATGACAGTTCGTGGCAAAATCCTGTCAATGGAGAATGCAAAGGAAATGACGTGGTAGAGAATAGCGAAAATATGGGTAAATTTTCTCTTTTTTTCACTTCCTCTTCCTAAATATAATGATTTACAGTGCTTTGCTAAACTGGACACGGACTCATTTTTATTGTTCAATTTTCAGACTGCATGGACACTAACTATGATAATGGAGGAGAAGTTGAAAGGTACAAGAGATTTGGAATTTTGAGATTATATTTTGTGAGGGATGGATGGGAATTTATCCAATTATATCTCACGTTCTATCAATTAGGGAAGTATTTTCCTTATCACACGAAGATCAACTTTACATTGACGGATTCGCGCGGAAATATCTTAACACACACAGAAAGGGAGTTTTCAAGAAGGTAGTCCCTGTAGAGAATATGTTATTCTTCCAGAAGGTATTTCAATCATCAATTCGAAGAATTCGATTTTCGTGCGTCGTTCCACTTGCCATTCCGCGAACGGGGGATTTCACCTCTTTCTGACAACCGCCCCATCTTCCCTTCCTTTCTCTCAATCACCATAGGAAAAAATCAAACAACCGTTGATAGCCTCGGATTCTCTGGTGAAACAAGATGCCATTAAATGTTTTAAGTCAATACAACGCATAATGGGCGATCGGCCCATGAAGAAAAGACCATATCAAGATGATCAGTCCTCGACACACTATATTTCGAAATTTTTGCCCTCTACATTGCCCCAGTCAACGTTAAAGTCACTTTTAGAGATTCAGTGGTTGTTGAATAGAGGAATTCTTAATGTTGAGCTGAGAGATGAGATTTACATGCAAGTCTTGAAACAGTTGACCAATAACTTGGACAGGTAATCTCTTGACGCCACTTCTTCTTATTCCCAAGGTTATTTTTGGTTCTAATCATTCTTTCACGATTTGAACAGCAACAGCGTAATAAGAGGTTGGGAGCTGCTGTGTGTACTTGCCGTGACGTTCCCTCCTTCCAAGAATTTCGAACCCTATCTATTTTGGTTTGTAAAGGAACATTTTGACAATAAGACAAACCAGGTGGGCGTATATAGCAAGCATGTGTTCTCCAGATTGAAAAGGATACATGAAAAAGGAGGTAGAGGTAAAGTGTTAACGTTGATGGAAATCAAACGGGAGATGGTATGTGGCCAATTTTTATTTTTATTATTATTATGATAGAAATTAATTATTCGGCGAACAATTATCGATCAGCTAACAAACAAACAATACTATCCGACTTTAAGGAAGCACCATTCCGCCCGTCCATATTTGGAGAATCTCTCGAGTTCATAATGAAATTACAGGAAAAGACAAATCCAGGATTAGAGTTGGAGGTGCCCCGCTTATTACCATTCTTAGCACACTCGGTATTGGAACTAAAGGGACTAATTTCAGAAGGGATATTCAGGGTGCCTGGTGAGGTGGATCAAATTACCGAGTTGGTAGGTCATATGCGACGAAGTGTGTTTGTGCATCATCTCCATGACTTACCGAATTTGCAAATCGCAGAAACTTCGAATAGAGAATAACTATTACGACATCACCGGCATAACCGATCCAAATGTGCCCGCGTCATTATTAAAATTTTGGCTAAGAGATTTGGCGGATCCGTTAATACCAAACGAATTCTACGACCAATGCATTAAAAATTCGGGGGATATTCACTCGTTGAAAAGGATCATTCAACAATTACCGGAGATCAATAGAAGAGTGATTATATTCGTCATCAGATTTTTGCAGGTTGGTGCGCACTAATAATATTCAACTATTTTGGGATGACGAACACGCACGCTTACGCACTCAACTCTTTACAAAAGATCTTTTCAACTCCATTTGTTATTAACGAAACAAAGATGAACGTCGACAACCTTTCAATGGTTTTTGCTCCAAACTTTTTGAGATGTCCTACCGATAGTCTGATGACTGTGTTTAATAACGCCAAGCATGAACAGTCGGTTGTGAGAACACTGTTGACAAGTTTCCGACCGAATGATGAGGCAGATCATGGAAACTGTGGATTTAAGTTTGAAGATTCGTGGGTCTTTTACTCCGATGACAAGACTCAAATTTGTCAAATAGAGCAGGAGGTGGTCATTCGTGAATTGGAGGTCGTCGAGAGTAAATGTTGAAATATGTTGGCACTCTAATTTTTTTTTTCTCATTTGGAAAAAGAATTGTTTTAGGAGAGAGATGTGAGGTGCCGGGAACCAATCAATTCATTGGTTGTGGTAGATTAATTTTTCCAATTAAATATCTTAATTCGTGTATATCTAATCAAAAGTATTTTCGAAATTGTGTCAGACCATTCTAATTCTTAATAATTTGCCATAATTTATTATCATCCTATGAAATACATAATATTAATAATACCCTTATAAAACCGGAATTCGGCAAACGATCAATCTGGTAGGATTCATCAATAAAGGATCACTCTTAATGATGATGATAACGATAATTAACAATTTTACGCTGTGTGGTGTATCTTTAAGAATGATCAACTACAGTAATTGAATTTTTTATTAATGAAATTTCACCAATGAATGATATGAATATAAACATAACTTTATGGTGAAACAAAGTAAATAAAGTTTAGAGGCAGGCCTTGCAACCATTCGACATCCTTCCATATCGGGTACAATCTTTCTTTGTTAACTCAAAGAGCATCATTACTTTAAATTCTAGAATTTTACAAAAGTACAACTTGGGAGCATGCGTCAAAAGGGTGCCTCCGGTCGAAACCATCATTCGAGATATGCGAGAGACCAGATCGGGGCCGTGTTTTTTCTTTATGACTGCTTCGCGGGCTAGACGAAAAAAGAGGGAGTAAACGGGGTGGATTTGTGGGCTAATCGGCGATCTAAAAGGAAAAGAACATCAACAAAAAAAAAAAAGTGTAGGATTTGATTTGATGAATCCTTTGACTTTTTTACAACATGCAGCTCTTTTGATAGTAAGTGCTTTACGAATGTTACAAATTGCCCTGAAATTGAACCATCATCCATTCCACCACACTCGATACAAACATCCAAGAATGGTTTAAACGTCCGCGCGAATCACACATGAATCATTTTTTGTGATCGGAAAATTTAAACGCATGTGTATAAGGCCAAGCTGATTATCTACTACGCACCAAGATCGCATTGAACATGAATGATGGGGGCAACTTTGTCATCTACAAATGAAAATCCGAAAACATTTTACATGCCCAGATAACACCTGTTTCACCTGAACTCGATCGATTTTTCCATACTTGTCGAATAAAAAAGGATTTATTGTTTGTTGATGTTTGCAAGGAGGAGGGTTCCCGTGGCGAATCTTCAATTGCCTTAAGAAACTAACTACCGGATAATGAAATTACGTTGGGTTATACTGCACAATACCTTTCTGTAAACTTAGGGGTGTGAAATTTTATTTTTTAATGAGGGTGATAGGTAATTGGTGTTGTCATAAGGAACATTTCTTCTGCGCACCAAGCAAACCTAGACATGATATTGATAATCCAAATTAATTGATTCCGGAATACCGGGAGAATATGAATTTGCGATGATCGAAAATGAAATAAATTGCGCTAAGGAGGGAATTGCACTTTAGAATTGTGACAAATTGGTTAATGACAATGTTAATATGTAAAGATGTGGTGTATGGAATGGTGGACAATCGTGAATTCAAAATCCTAATTTTTAATTTGGTGTCTGTCCATGGCTCCATGGAATCATGATCGCTGTTCTTTTTACTATATTGACCATGGTGTCTCTTGGTATACGGGCAACTTCGCTAAGGAAAAAGAACCAATAGGACGCCGGGATACTAGGATACCCATCGCCTGATACGTGCCTTTTGGGATCGTGACAATCACTATCTGTAGAAAGTACTGATCAACATTATATTCGTTATGTACGCAAATCTTTTACGAGTAAAAAAGTAGCGGAAACAAAATTAGGATTAAATCTAATGCATCGTCCAAATTGAGATCCAATATCAACGGCGCTTTTTTTAATACGTTCTATACCAACGTTGGGAAGTTAATGGTAATCGTTATCACAATTGGTAAGATCCATTTCCTTTCACATGCGTGCCGAAATACGTATGCTGCATCAAAGGATTTTCACATAACGTACATATCGAGCTAGGTAGTACGTCATTAAAGGCACAACGACAATTGTCACTTGTGCTGTTGTGGCTTACTGTTACACGGTGTTAAACACTCATTTATAGTTGTGGCCTACTGTTACACAGTGTTAAACACCTCATTTATAATATGCAAGGAGGCAGCCAAAGTTTTATTTACTGTATTTTTTTAAAGTTTATCGTTTGGTACTGTATATACTCGTCACGAATTGTTTAACCTTATACTCGGGGTGATAATAAATCGATCGGTCATTGAAATTTAAGAAAGACCGTGAGGAAGCAGCTAGCAGATCTTATTAATGGGATGGTCGGATATACAGTATTGAAGAAAACTTTAACACTGAAAATGCGCAAACATAATTATAATAAAATCCCTTTGATGTTGATTATATTAATGAGTCGCTTTAACAATGTGCAACAAGATTAGATTTTGACAAATACCGTACATGTCATTATTCGTTTGATGCATAATCAATCAGATCAAGAATCATTTCCACCTTTTACTTTTTAATTTTTTGCGCAGTTTTCTTAAAGTAATGCACTCGAAGAATTGGTTATTACGAAGAAATTGAGCGTCAATTTACTAGCACTCGTTATATGCTCACGCAATGAGAATGCTCTAGCATCCGCGTATCTTTTATAAAATAACTAGCAATCTCGCGAAGTAAAAGCCTTCCTAGCGTAAAACTTGTGCATTCTAATCGAAGTCTTATAATAATTTAATTCTTCAATCTGTTGCGCCACCAAATCTTCAGTTTTTGTCTCTGGCATACGCAATACGACATTAATTTTTCTTACGAATTCAGTGGTATTATGCTGCACCAGCTCTCCGATTTTTCCGCCCCAAGAACCCATCGGAACAACCTTACTGGCGTGACATATGGTTGAGGAGTCAATACCTTCGGTGGAGGCCAAGATGCCGGGTAGGTGAAAGACTAAGTCGGGATCAATGTTTTTCTTTAGGGCAGCTTCCCGGACTGTGCAGGGGAAAGAGATAGGTAGGACAAGTGAGCGGAATTTCCAGCACAGAAAGATGGGAATTCGCGTACTTACAAAGTTGTATGTAATGTTTCGAAATCGGACCGTTATTTATCCCATCACATTCAAGCTCAAACATCTAATAAAAATAAAAAAAAATTTTTTTAAGCGTCTACATTCAATCGCGAATAAATCATCTTTTCTAATACTTTTACTTCTCATACCTCTATCCACCCACCCGGCTTTAAAACCCTCACCAGCTCCTTTACCACCTTCTTTTCCCATTGCTCCTTGGTATAATTGAGATATTTAAATCGAGTATGTACAAAATCAAATTGATTATCGCCAAACGGAAGACTGCCATTAAGGTCACTTTTAATAAACTGAACGTTAGAAGGGTGAATGGCGGGAAACAATGGTATAATTTCCACACCGACAAATGAAGATTTCGGAAAATCGGAACTCATATCACATATCCAAGTTCCTGCGTGTATAAATCAACTGAGGCATTTTTTGAGATGGTAGAATAAAAAACACTTTAATAATAATTACCTGGACCACACCTTTAATTAATCGAATTGCAAAGAAACAGTTAGGAACAAACTTCATAAAACAAAAGGGAGGAAAGAGAGTCCGAAACGATAAAAATAATCACCCAAAATCCAACACAATGGCATCACCCTTCACTAATATATCCCGTACGGGCGCTAGAAAATTTCCACCCCATAATGTACGGTACATGTGGTGTTCCACCTGAGTCCTATCGATTTCATTTTCTTCGTTAAATAAAAGTTTATCATCAATGTTCTTTGGACGTTTTTTCGCGGTTCGCTTTCTAGCTAATATATTGCCCATAATACTATTACGAAAAATTGCGTATGTATATTTTTGAAGTGAGATATTACGGTTTTTTTTTTTTGGTTTTTTAAAAAAATATTGTTGAATAAAAAATGTAGATATTATTATTATTTTATCATTAATTCATGTATTCTTTGTTGATGAAATGGCTATCATTGAGACGAGAGGATAGAATTATCGTTCGTGAGGGCTTATATATATCTTTGATGATGACTGCGAATGGTGTTGAGGATTTCTTGTGTTAATAATGTGTTCTGAATCTATTACATAATTAAGAAAATTAGCGTCATATTTTATACTCAACACATCTTCGTGCAGTGTATGCGATTTTCCCTATTGGTACATTGGTTTCTGTCTTTCCGCTCGCGAGCTGCGATTTAAACCAGAGATTTTGAAATAGTTGTACCACAATCTTTCTTGCACAAACATGATTCGATGAAACTGGGTGCGTTAAGCTCCATTTGAATTTTTACTACTTGCTCAGTTATTGGTAACTGTAGGTGTCAATCACACACAAAAAACGGTTTTATTCAATTACTAATAAGTACATCGCCGAAATCATTCTTAGGTCACGAGCGAACTCAATCTGAAAATTTTGAATGAGAAATAAAATAGTTCGATAGAGGGTCTCGATGATCTTTTCATCGAACAACATCACGTACGATATCGAGACAGGTAATTTTGCGCGCGTTTACTTGTTTTAAGACTTTTGGATGCTTTCCTTAGAGTTCGACAAAAGTATTGCATCATGTGCACACAAAAATTAATATATGCTAAATGTCTAACGATTCAGGAGTCATTGTATTATGTGGAACTTGTTTAGCGACATCGCTGTAACTTTTTTTGTCTTTCCCAGAAAAAAAAAAAAGGGTGATGCATTTTTTGGATCGGTCTATAGTGCGCGCATTTTTATACGTTTCAAATGTCTAATTCCAATTAATTATTATAAAGTTTCCAAATGGTCACAGTTAATTAAAGCATACCGTAACTCATCGGAATATCATGGCCACGGAACCAGAACACGGTATTTAAGAAAGAATACCACAAGAGAATAAGATTGTGCTATTAACTCGCGCATAATTTTATACTTTAAAAAAATAATGATATCCTTCATACGTATGCTCTCTATTATATACTGTATATACAGTATATTTTAAACAATAAACCCTAATTCATACGAAATCTAGTATACCATATACAGTATGATGCAAAAAAACCAATAATTACATTTTAATTTTATACTTTATTGAATAATTTACAAAAATTTATGAATATGCGCTAAATAAAAAAAAGAATTTTAAAATTTTAATCATAATAATAATAATTATTATTTTTTTATTAATAAAACTCTATTAATTTCATTTTTTATATTACATCAATAATTCAAAAATGCATAAAATATTTTAAGATTTAAAATATAATTTATTTTCTTTAAAAAAAAAAAACAAAAAAAAAAATTTTTTTTTAATAAAATAAAATAAAAAATTATTTTATAATTTAAAAATTAAAAAATAAAAAAAAATTATAGTTGTTTTTTATTTTAATTATCCATAACCAAGCTAGATAGTAGTTTATTAATTTTTAAAAAATATTATAATTAAATATTTGTGTTATATCTAAAAAAATTATCTTAAACATAAGAGACTTTAAGTTTGATCTTAGAAATAATATTTTGCTTCAATAAGAATTTTGAATAAACACTTTTATAATTTCTAATATTTTATCAGTAGTTTATTACTATTATATATCTTTCAAACCCCTGATTAATAAAAAATTATATAAAAGAAAGAGATATAAAATGAAAATAAATATATATAAAAATATGCAAATGTATATATAAAAAAATAAAAAAAAAATAAAATTTAATTTCTTTAAAAAATCCAACTTTTTAAATTTCTCTTTAAGATGTTTTTTTTTCTAAACTATATAAAGATCTTATATTTTAATAGTTTCTTCTTTATCATCTTTCAAAATATATCTTTTTGACTTATACCTTTAGGTTTTATACTAGTTATTTAAGTTTTTTCATCAGTCCTATTCAAGGATTTATTGTTTTAGTATTTATTAAACTAGAAGAAACTTGATCTTAAAAACTTTATCTATTTAAATAATAAAACTAAAGAGATTTTGTCTAAAAAAATTAATGACTTAAAGATATATTGTTTAGATCTTATTAATTTTATAATCTTGAATAAATTCAATTGAAAAAAAAAAAAAAAGAATCAAGAAATCAATTAACTTTTATTTACACTAATAATATTATTAGTATATATAATATAATTAATAAAAGTTAGTTTATATTTAGATATTAATGTATTTTATATCAATCAATCATCTTTGACAAAAGCTATATCAATTTTGTATTATTTTAAAATTTAAAGTCAAACTAAAATAATCAAAATTCTCAAAAAAATTTAAAAAATTAAGCAACTTTAAGAAAATAATTGAAGAAATTTATAAGTGAGATAGTTATAGGTTCAAAGACTATAATTATTATTGAAAGTCCTTTCAAAATATATCTTGTAAAAAATATAATAAAATTACTTTTATATATATATAAATATATATAAAAAAATATAGATAAGTATTGAAAAAAAAAACTTCAATAAAATTTTTAAAATTTCTCTTTATAGTAATAAATTAAAATATTAAAAAATAAAATAAAATAAAAATAAATAAATAAAAATCTTATAAAGAGCTTTCTTAACAAATATGTTAAAAAAGTCAACTAGGACAAAAGATCTAATAATTAGCTATATAAATAAAAGAATCATTATAAATAGTAACAAGATTTCAAAATCACTCTTAAAAATCAAACTCGTGAACAAGTTCAATTCTTTAATCAGTACAAAGAAAAACTAAATGTTAATCAAAAAAAAGAAAATAAAAGAGATAATAAAGGATTCACAGGTTGACATGCAGAATCAAAAAATCATGGAGTTAGAAATGATAGAACAAGACAATAATTAAAATCAAGAAATAAATATCACAGGTACTTTATTATTAATAAAAAAAATAATTTTTGAAATCAGACCTATTCTATCAATGATAATAATATTGATAACAACAATAGTAAGAGAGGAAAAAGATACCTTAAATACTATGCAAGATATCACTAAAAATAGGTTTAACTATAAAGAAAGAAAAGAAACAAGAATTGCAAAAATAAGTTAAATAAATTTTTAAGATATCTCTAATATACTTCAATCAGGTAAAGTATATATAGATCTAAATATAGTACTGAAACATATAATCAAAGAAAAAATCTCATATATATGAAACAAACTGAAACATCTGATAACTTTGAAACATGTATGTATAAAACATTTAATAAATACATTGATAATTACAGCTATTTTTAACAAATTTCATAAAGCAATAGCAGTATGTGAGATTAAGATCAATGTTAATGATTTCTTCAAATTTAAACTAGCTCTATAGTCTGTACTAGTGAGAGCAAAACCTGATCTATCAAAATTTGAGATATTCTTAACCATTTCAAAAAAATTAACATTGCTAACTTATTTCAGAACTAGATAGCAATCAAGAACATTATACTGCAACCAAAAGATTCTGTACAATCAAATACAGTATAGTTTAGTACAATGAAGAGCAGATCCAAAAATGAATATTCTATAAGAATACCTTTTGTATATGAATATATTCAATAATTAAGATATGTATTATAAAAGAAAAAAGAAATTAGTATAGTACAATATTAGCAAACCTTCTGCAAAGAACTATAGAAAAGGAACTGTAAGAAATAATTATACAAATTAGTGCATAAACTTATTACTTTTTTTTTGAATCACTTATTTCAAAACAAAAGATTCATAATCCTTTATTTTATAAATGATCAGGATTTAAATAGAGTAAAAAATATTAGCTTCAATTTCAACAACATAGAACTAGTTTGGATAGAGAGAGCTAAGAAATTTTGCTTCAGATACAGTATTTAAAATTATGAATTTCCTATCGGCTTGATCAACAAAAAAAGCTTACCCAAAAAAGACAGAACTAATAGACTTAAACAACTAAGACTTAAAATAACAACTTAAAAAAGATTATTTTTATTAAACAAGGTAACAGACCAACTAGCAGCATTTTTACTTTAAAACAAATATATGTAAACATTAATAAGAACATTGTCAATCTATCCAATAACCTCCAAATCAGATAGATAGATGTGACAACTATAGCAGCAATTTACTTTAAGTTGAGAAAAAGTACCTTGGTTATAGTATATTAAATTGATAATTCAAGAATAGTAGAGGTTACATAAACATATTGAAAGAGGCTTTGATGATTTGATTTAATTAAAAGATTATTAGAGATATATAATATCAAGAATAAGAAAATTGAATAGATAAAATCTTGGGTCAACTGTTTTGAACAATTGGTCTTTATATACATAATTAAATATTAATTATTAGTGACCAAAGTGACCAAAGTGATCAAATTTACCAGATTTGTCAAATTAGTTCAATATGCCAGATCTGCTCACTTGGGTAACTTGCTAACTAAATATAGATAAAATATAATAATTGAATAAAAAAATTAAATAATACATGCTACATCAATTACTACTTTATCCTAATAATTGGATCTATCCTAAGAATCAATGAGATATACCTTGCATTATATATGTTACATGATCTAAAAATAGAACTAAAGTAACATGATAGACAAGAATTATAGATAATAATTAAAGAGAAATATAGCTATTAATTAAGACTAACAATATGAAACACCTACCAGTGAAAAATAAAAAGATAATAAAAGCTCTCAAACAACTTCAAGTAGATATAAAGAAAATCAAATATCAGATTAATATATTAAATAAGAGAGTAATAGCAATTGAAACAGAACTCCATATTAAATCTAAAGGATTAGCCATAATAGACTTCTCTATAGAACAAGAGACAGTATTAGAGAATTTTAACTTCAGAATCCACTTCACAAAGAAAATGAATATTAGACAACAATAAAACTAATTA